GTCTGTCTCGCAAATATTTCCTCTCTGTCATTTTTCATTTGATTTTGGTATGTTCTGTCATTATTTCTGTGCAGTCAGATCTACTCATCTGAATTTGTCCTGTTAAGAAAGTCACTCAGAGGTGCGCCTGGGTGGCTCAGTGGGTTAAAGCCTCTGCCTTCAGCTCAGGTCATGATCCCAGGGTCCTGGCATCGAGCCCCACATCGGGCTCTCTGCTTGGCGGTGAGCCTGCTACCCACCTCTCACTCTGCCTGCCTCTCTGCCTACTTGTGATCTCTGTCAAATAAATAAAATCTTTAAAAAAGAAAAAAAAGAAAAAAGAAAAAAAAGAAAGTCACTCAGAGCCATTTTTGGAGCCATGGTAACTACCCCGTTCACCTAGCCTTTCTAAATGTTCCCCCTGAACCACGAAGTCACAGGAAAGCAGGGTGCTGAGGCAACATTAGCCCCGTTCCCATTAAGAGGTGTTTGCTAACAAACAATTTAATGTCAGGCCCTGGTTTTAGCAAGGGTCAATAGAAAACCTAGAGGATACAAAGAACTTATCAAACTCAACACCCAGGGAAAAAAAAAAAGAAAAAAAAAAGAAATCCAGTTAAGAAATGAACAGAACACATGAACAGACATTTTTCTAAAGAAGATATCCAGGTGGCTAACAGACACATGAGAAGATGTTCAACATCACTCATCATCAGGGAAATGAAAATCTAAACTACAATGAGACATCACCTCACACTGTCAGAATGGCTAAAATTAACAACTCAGTAAACAACAGATGTTGGCAAAGACATGGAGAAAGGGGAACCCTCTTGCACTGTTGGTGGGAATGCAAACCGGTGCAGCCACTGTGGAGAACAGTATGGAGGTTCCTCAAAAAGTTAAAAATAGGGCTACCCTAGGCCCAACAATTGCACTACTAGGTATTTACCCAAAGGATACAAAAATACAGATTTGAAGGGGTACATGCACCCCAATGTTTCTAGCAGTATTATCAACAATAGCCAATCTGTGGAGAGACCCCAAATGTCCATCAACTGATGCATGGGTAAAGAAGATACAGGGTGTGTGTGTGTGTGTGTGTGTGTGTGTACATATGTACACGCACAATGGAATACTACTCAGCCATCAAAAAGAAAGAAATCTTGAGGTGCCTGGGTGGCTCAGTCAGTTAAGGTCCAACTCTTGGTTTCAGCTCAGTTCATGATCTCATGGGTCGTGAGATGGAGCCCTGCGGCAGACTCCATGCTCAACAGGAAGTCTGCTTGAAGATCTTCTCCCTCTGCCCCTCCCCACACTTATGCTCAACATGCTTGCTCTCTCTCTCTCAAATAAATAAATATTTTTTTAAAGAATGAAATCTTGCTATTTGCAATAACATGGATGGAGCTAGAGTATATTGTGCTAAGTAAATAAGTCAGTTAGAGAAAGACAAATACCATGTTTTTACGCAAATGTGGAATTTAAGAAACAAAACAGATGAACATATGGGAAGGAAAGAGAGAGAGAGAAGCAAACCATAAGATACTCTTAATAATAGAGAACAAACTGAGGTTTATGGAGGGAGGAGGGTAGAGGATGAGCTAGGTGTGTCATGGGTATTAAGGAGTGCATTTCTGTGTTATACATATGTGATGAATCACTAAATTCTACTCCTGAAACCAAAATCCACTATATGTTAACTAACTAGAATTTAAATAAAAATTTGAGAAGAGGGGCACCTGGGTGGCTCAGTCATTAAGTGTCTGCCTTTGGCCCAGGTCATGATCCCAGGGTCCTGGGATCAAGTCCCACATCAGGCTCCCTGCTCAGCAGTGAGTCTGCTTCTCCCTCTCTCACTCTCCCTGCTTATGTTCTGTCTCTCATTCTCTCTCTCTCTCTCTCTCTCTCTCTCTCTCCGTCAAATAAATAAATAAATAAATAAAATCATTTTAAAAATCTTTTTGAAAAGAAAAAAATAAAGCCATAGGAATACTTTGCATTTTCTGCAAAATGACAATTGCCCATTTTGTCACTTAAGGTCCCTTATATAAGAATCCACAAAGACATTCCTCTCTGCATCGCAGGAGAAAATACTCACTGATTGAAAAGACTCAACCAGTAAGTACTACATACCCCATCTGGTTTCCCATTTTATCTTGGCTGCCAGGAAATCTAGAAGCAAATGTAAGGCTCAGATATAGGAACAAGCCAACTCACTGTGGGGCAGAAGATTTCCTCAGGCAGCATCTTTATTCACCCTCTTGTATAGTTTTGTTTTAAGCCGCCTCAAATTTCCTTTTGGAAATTCCAAACAGAAACAATAAACAAAATGACTTAAGACATAACATCAAACTGAGGGCTGTTGGAGGGGAGGTGGGTGGGAGGAAGGGGTAACCGGGTGATGGGCATTGTGAGGGACACTTGATGCCACGAGCACTGGATGTTCTACACAACGGATGAATCACTAAATTCTACCCCAGTAACTAATAATACAGTATATGTCTGAATTTTTTTTAATTTAAATGTTTCTTAAAAGAACAAAAACACCTGTCTGAATGGTGGCAAAGTTGGCACAAAAGTTTCTGCTAGAACCATGATTAATTAACATTTTCACAAATGCTCCAAGGGAGGGAAGGTACAATGGAAAATCTGGATCTGAGGTTGACATTCAGCTTCCCTAAGCAGGGAAATTTGGAGGCAACCTAGAGAAACTTCAAGAAAATCCTGGCAGCTGTTGTGGAGAGAGTAACTCCATTGTGTATCTAAGGTAATGGATTTAGGCAGACTCATCCCTAAAATGTGGGGGACCAAAGCTAGAATACAAATGGAGATCCATATACCATATGTCTCAATAGTTTAATGTTCTAAATCAAGCTTAAAAAAGCTATCAAATCAAGTGTGTCCTCTCTTCCTACTCTGACAAACATCTTCCTACTGACCAGGAAGCCAGGTTTGAATATAGGATTTTCAGAAGTTCTGCACCAAAACATAGCAGCAGCATCCTGCCCCTGCCCCCAGGCAGGATTCAGCAGGACCTGGAATGCTAAACCCTGTCACCCTGGACCTTGGCCCCCCAACAAACCAGAGAAGGTCCCAAGAAGATGGAGCTGTTTTCATATGTTGAGAGAAGAAAGTGAATCCTTCACCCCAAAAAAGAAAAAGATAAAAAGGAAAAGAATGTCAATGGGTTATATTTTTTAGTAAATGGAGAAGGTGGACATGGAGAGACTGACCTCTCACCTTCTGGAATAGTCTCTCCAGGAAGCACTTCTTCAAGCCCAAGGAGGCTTGATTTGAGATGTAAATTATTAAAGCCACTGCACACAACAAACAAATGGAGCCCTTTAACCCAGAAGGAAATAAAAGCTGAATTGAATTTGGTTTGGGAAGTGGAGGTGGGGAACAACAGTCAGGGGACATCCAAAGTCAACATCACAAACAATCTCATGTTTGCCCTGCTGCCCATTCAATGCCACTGTCAGAGCCAAACAGTGTTGGGGCCATGGGTCCAACCTCAGGAGACCCTGTCAATCACTACGCTTTTACATTTTTGGTGTTTTTTATCTTTATGGCTTTGTAAGTCCAGCTAAAGTTGGCATCTCTTGATTGAGATGAGCCTTTCCAATGACTCTGAATGCTTGTCTTTGGAAAGTAGCTATTGTCCATTTTGAAACTATGGCATTTACAACTTATTCATCCATCTGTCCATCCACCCATTCATTCATTCATTCATTGAGAGCCTGCTGAGTACCAGCTTCCAGGTATATGTATATTTCGTCTCTATTGCTTATGATTTTCTTCCAAATATAGCACCTGACCTTCCCAACTAACTCTCCCCACTACTTCCTCCAGGTACAGAAGTAGCCATTCCCTTCTTTCCCAAACTCTACTTCTCTTGAAATGCTGTCCTCTCCAACAGTTCCAGGGCCAAGTGCCAACTCTTCCCAAGGCATATGTCCAGACATTCTGATTTTTTTTATTTTTTTAGACTTTCCCATACAGGAGACCCACTGTGTTACTCTCTCAAGAATCTGGTGCCAAGGGCGCCTGGGTGGCACAGTGGGTTAAGCCTCTGTCTTCAGCTCAGGTCATGATCTCAGGGTCTTGTAATCGAGTCCCACATCGGGCTCTCAGAGAGCCTGCTTCCCCCTGTCTCTCTGTTTGCCTTTCTGCCAACTTGTGATTTCTCTCTGTGTGTGTCAAATAAATAAATAAAATCTTAAAAAAAAAAAAAAAAAGAATCTGGTGCCAAAGAGAACTAAAAGTGCAGGGAATTTATTAAGGGGAATACCTATGAAAAAAGTGGGGTGGGGCACCTCAATTGGTTAAGAGTCTGACTTTGGCTTAGGTCATGATCTCAGGGTCCTGGGATTGAGCCCCATGTGGGGCACCGTGCTCAGCAGGGAGTCTGCTTGTGTCTCTCCTTCTGCCCCTCCCCCCATTCTTTCTCTCTCTCTCAAATACATAAAAATTAAAAAAAAAAAAAAAATGAAGAAGTTGGGTAGAGGCCAGGAAAGGCAGGGAGATCCCACAGACCATGAGGCAGGTCTGACCCCAACTGAGGGAGACCGCCATGCAATCTCTGGAACGATCTGCAAAATCGTCCTCAAGCCAAATTCAGCCATAAGGGGAATCCTGTGTCGGCCAGAATCAGGCCTGCCTCAGTGTCCCTGCCACACTCTGCCTTTGGCTGGGAACTGCCCATGATAAGGATGGCCTTGATGCAAGCACATCTATGGGGGACTCAGGGGACACAGTAGGGCCTCTCAGTCAGTTATGCCCCTATGGTGGGAAGTCTGAGAGGCAAGTTCTCATGGTCACCTCAGATGTTCATTAACAGGGGGTGAAACAGGGTCCCTTCTATGTCTCTTCAGTGACTTCAGTTAGGGAATCAAGGGTTCAGGGTGTGTGTGTGTGTGTGTGTGTGTGTGTTGAGAAGGAGCTCCCTCCCACAGCCACAATGGCGTCTCCAAAGCCCAGCTCCCACTGCAGACTCTCATCCCTCTCTTGCTCCCTTTCAGACCATCCTGGTGGGTGACAGCGGCGTGGGGAAGACCTCTCTGCTGGTTCAGTTCGACCAGGGCAAGTTCATCCCAGGCTCCTTCTCGGCCACCGTGGGCATCGGATTCACAGTAAGTGACCCCAGACTCTGGGGCCCTGGTGTGTCTCTGTCAGGGTCCCAGCAGGAAACAGGTGGACGCTCACCCTGGATCATTCAAGGTTTAATATGAAGGCTACTTACCAAGGTGGAGGCAGGGTGTTGGGGAACGGGGGTGGGGGCCTTAGTGCAATGCCCATGCATAGTGCAGGGCCTCTGGTCCAGTCCTAGCCTAAAAAACAATAACAACAACAACAAAAAAACAAAAAACAAACAAGAAAAAACACAAGAGGAGCAAACTACTGCCAGAACTCAGGGACAAAAGCCTGGGGAGGGCTGGCTACCAGGAGCTCTGACCCTCAGTGGAGAAACACACGCACTCCCCCCCCCTCCTGGAAGCTAGCCAGGGCGGCAAGTCAGCTCCCTCCTACCGTGCTCCCTTCCTGCTCTCCCATCTCCTCCTGGGGCTCCCCACTGGCTAGACCCAACCAGAAACTAGAAAGAATATCTTGATACAGATTGCTCAGGTCCTCCTTCCAGGGCAAGAAGAATGTGGAGAGGCAAAGGGATGACTTCAGATTTTAAGTATAGTCCAAATTTAACACTGTTGTGTGGGTCCTAGGGAACTGGCAGGCCAAGAACTAAAGTTTTATTCTTAGCACTCTGTCTCTCCCTGGATATCCTCAGGATCAGGATGGAGCAGAACACAGGGCCTGTGGGACCACACTTAGGGCTGGGATGCAGCAGCATCACTCTTGGTGGGAAGAGGCAAGAGGACCCCAGAAACTGGGCTTGCCCACTGGATCACAGGAAGGAAGGCAAGGACACCTGATGGGCAGGGATTCAGAGTAGAGCAGAAATGAAAGCCTGGCCAGCGTGTGTGCCAGGGGCCTGGAATCCAACCCGACACACCAGCACCCAGTGTTTGCTCATGACCAGCCTCCAGAGTGCTGGGAAGGGCAGGGCTGAGTCCCAGGAAAGCAAGGTTGCCCAGAAAATTCCTGAGACCTGGGACCAGGCTGCCATGCCAGACATTCCCCCCACCACGGGCCTGTTCCCCATCTGCCCCTCAGCACATGAGGTCACAGGGGGCCCTCACAGCCACCAGCCATCTCCCCCAACTCCATGCCCATCCTTCCACCTGTCAGACTCGGAGGGCAGACAGTGGGGTGGACGTGGGTGTGGATGTGGTTGGGAACACTCTGATTCACACTCCACAGATGCATAAGGGTGGGACCTCCAAATTTTGCCACTAGCCTGATAAGAAAAATGTGGCACCTGGTCTCTAAGAAGGAAGAAAGAATGTGGTCAGAGAGCCTGAAGCAGGCTGACACATGGCAGGCCTGGCTCCCCCAAACTGACCACAGGACAAAGGACGGTCTTGGTCAAGCCAACAACACAAACCAGAGCTGGAAGTCAGAAGCCCACCTTCCCCTCCGCAGGCTCTAGAAGGGGCTCCTTCCTGGCCTCCTCCAGCTTCTGGCAGCTCCCGACAACCCTTGGTACCTGTTGGCTTGTGGCTGCAGCACCCCAGTCTCCAGCCCAGTCTTTGAAGAGCCTCTCCTCCCTGTGTGTCCGCTCGTCTTCTTACAGGGACACCAGTCATACTGGATTAAGGACCCACCTGACTCCTATACGACTTCATCTTAACTAGTCACATCTGCAAAGACCCCCCCTTCCAAATAAGGTCCCATTCTGAGGGACGAGGGGCTAGGAAAGCCACAGATGCTTGGAGGGACGTAATGCAACCCATTGCAGGGGAAGGGGAGCAAGGGCCACGCCACCTCCTCGCTCTCATTTCTCGTCATCCATTACCCTCTTGCTCTGAAAGCCACTGCCCCTGCAGGGTTCCAGTGTGAGCACTTAAGAGCTCAGAGTGGGCTGGGGTGTTATTCGCAGCCGGTGACTCTGGCATCCAAACAGCAGGCGATTACACACGTCTGCAGGGTACCAGACAGCTTCTCGGCTCCCACAGCTGGCTCTCTGAGGCCCAGAGCCGGAAAACAGCTCCAGCCACTGCCAAAAATCACAGGGCTAGGGGCACATGGACACACAGTGCCCACCAGGCCTATAGTCTCCGATAAGCCACACTTGCTTGTCTCACCCCCCCAACACCTAAGTCAAGGGGTGCAGGTGCCCCACCCCCCTACACACCCTCCGTCAGTCCCTTTGTAATATGACCACAGAGCCCCTGAAGCCTACTAGGAACAAAACTGCTCACACTCCCACTCTCTGTCACCAGGAGCTGCAGGATTGCTGGGATGTCCTGCTTAAAATGATCCGCGACTTCATGAATTTATTTAATACCAAATATTTAAGGCCTGCTTCAGGCCAGGGGACCAGGCCCTGCGGTCCAGGGCCAGGCTGCATAAGGCCAGCCTCGCCTTCAGCAGTTCCCAGATTGGGGGGGGGGGGGGGGGGGGCTTTCCCAGGATGGCTCATTCTGGACGCAGCCCAACAGGTCAGGGAGAAATGAGAGGTGATCTACACTATAAAGGGTCAAAGTCCTAGCACCCCGCTAGGGACCGTAAGAAACCACAGTGTAAATGTGGGGCAAGGTGAATTTCAGTGGGTGAATAAAATCATATTCAGATGAGCTCGCGCTGGGGTGCATTAGCAAAAGCAAAACTGCCTGAGCGCCTTCCTCGCCGTGCACGTCTTCTCTCAAAAGCAGCGCCCGGCCGCTCTCTAGAGTCCCCGGCCCACAATCGCGACCCAGGGACACCCGTCCGCCTCCAGCTGGCCGGGGCTCCGGCGCCGCGGGCAGGCCGCGCTGTGCAGTGGCAGCGAAAACCCGGGCGCCTGACCGCGGGGCCCCACAGATGCCAGACCCTGCGAGTCAGGCTGGATTTCCAGGGACCTTTACCCGGGGAACGTAACCCGGGCCGCGGGCGACCTTGGGGGACCGGTCCTGGGGCTGCGTTTGGCCCGTCTCCCCAGAGAGTGATGCCCGGACAGTTTGCTCGGGGGCCGCCTGCCCTGCCCCCGAGGCGCTGACCCTACGGTCGTGCGCGCCCTCGCGAGCCAGCCTTCTAGGGGCAGGTGTCGTCTGGGTGGCCGGACGGAGGGAGGAGCCTGTCGGGGTCCGGGCCGGGGCGGTGGAGGGTGGGAGGATGAGGTGGAGCCTAAAGCGGGGCGGTCCCTGCTCTGTCCCTCGCCCGCCACCAGCCCTAGCTCACCTCTGGTCCAGGGGACATGACGGGCATGTCTGGCGCCGCTGTCACTCGGGATGGAGAGGCCCCTGAGGACTCCCCGCCCTGCAGTCCGAGCTACGATGTGACGGGCAAGGTGGGTGGGCACTGCGCCCAGCGCTGGGGACTCCCCAGCCTGCTCTGAGGGCCACTGAGACCCCGGTCCAACCCCCTTTCTGGCTGCGTCTTCTTTGGACTCAGCCCTTCCCCCAAGGAGCCTGGTCTCCCCGAACAGGGAGGAAGGGTGGAGACAGCCCCCGGCTCTACGCCCTAGTCTAGGTCTCTGGGCTGGCTCAGCAAGGGTGGGAAGAGGGGGGTTAAAAGGACTGAAGGACTCCCCACACGGCGGACCCCAACCCCATTTTCTTTTGCTGCACCCTGATTGCTATGATCCCCCGGAACCCCGTGCTTCTCCGTACGGGTTAAGTGCACAACCCTCCTGCGCCCAGGCACCCACAAATGCTGGAATATGGGGATGCCTGGAGACGCGGAGGGGACGCCCCCTGGCGGCGGAGCAATTGTGGTTAATGCCTTTTCCCCAGCTAAGCTCCCCGCGGAGACTCAGGCCCCAAGCTCCGTAGGTCCCCGGGTGCCCCCAAGCCCCACCACCTCCTTTCTGCTCCCGCAGCCATTTCCTCCCGCCTTCTTCCAGGAGGCTGTTGCTAACCAACATGAAGCCCCGCCTGAGAATTTTTAAACCTGGGAAAGATTCTCTTGGTTAGTCCCAAGTCCCCTGCGGGCTAGCTTAGGTCACCTCTCTGGGGCTGGATCCCTCTGCAGGAGGCAGCCCTGGACAGAAGCAGGTGAGGGCGGCGATGGACTCTGGTCTGTCTGACCTCCCTCTGGGCCCCTGGAGGAGCAGGGACTGGGAACTCTGAACGAGGGGCTGAGGGAGCACAGAGCTTCCACTCTTCCTGTGTCATGCTGCAGGGCCTTGAAGGAGACCGACCTCTTCCTGTGCCTCGGGGCCTCCGCCACCCCCACCCCAGGCTCTCTCTCACTGGGAGCTGGGGCCTCTACCCCCCAGTCTTCAGGGGAAGCCACTTTGCAAGTCACCCAGCCAGAGCCGTTGAGATAGGCGTCCTGTGTGGGCTGGTGGCAGGAAATGGGCCCCTGTGCCTTCAGGGGAGGAGGAGCTGCTAAGGCCCAGGCCCCAGGCTGGTGGGGACTGCCTGACCTCCTGGCCTGAGAAGCCAGCTGGCCTGTTTGTCTAGGAGGTGGCAAGGCTGGGCAGTTGTGTTTGGTGGAATCACCTGGCTGGGGGGCTGGGGGGCTGGTGAGCAACTTTTGTTCAAGACAGCTGTGATCTGAAAAGTTTGCAAGAGTTCACCCTCCCTCCTTCCTCCTCAGGAGCCAGGGAGAAGTGCTGGCTCCAGAGGGCTGCCTGGCCTCCAGCCCTCCATCTCCCGTGGGCCAGGCAGCATCTGTGGGAGGAGCCTGGCAGAAGCTCCTTGGGCCAAATTAGAGGGAATGAGAGCCGCAGGCAGGGAGTACCCAGCCCCAGGCTACTCTTCCCTGAGTCTCAGGCACTTGACATCAGCATTTTTGGTCCAAGTCATTAACAGACTCCAAAGAGTCCTCAGTGAAATTATCCTTCCTCCCTTCTAGCCACTGTGGGAAGCATGCCACAGAACAGTTAAGGAATCTTCCCAAAGTCCCCCAGTAGCCATTTACAAGCCAAAACCCCAGCCTTCACGTACCTTTTGCTCAGTCCCCTTACCTTTCCACCAAAGTTAGCTAATCCTAGTACTGTCAAGGTCAGAGCCTCAAAAATAACTCAAACCTAGTCCCTGCTCAACCCATTAAGTATCTAACCAGCCAACTGGGAAAATTCCAGCATTAGGTCCAGACCTCTGTTCTCCAAACTTGAGGAATGACTGGACAGAAGGCTCCCTCTCCCTGTCCCCGCTTGTCTTGTCTCTGAAAGAAGATCATGAGCAGAGACTGACCAGACAACACGAGGGCAGGGACAAACCCCACCCCACATCCCCTCCCCTAAAATGACCCAGAGATGCTAATTTGCATTCATCTGTCCCACCTGGGAGGTTTCTGCAGAAGGAAATTCAGACTCATCATCTCCCCGTTTCGGTATAAATTTCAATCCTCCCTAGTTCACGCAACCCTTTTATAAACATAAAATGTCATTAGAGACTTCCAGATGAATTCTGTGACCAGAAAAAAGAAAACAACCGCAGTGGTAATTTTAGAATGTGCTTTTGCATACAACCGTGCCTGCCCCATCAGATCTGATAGCCTCCCTTGGGTGATAATCCCTGTCCACAGTATTAACACTTCCTTTCTGGAAGTGGTGGTTCTTCGGGGCCACCAAGCACATCTGCTGACTTGTGAGTGCTGAGGTCTCAACACAGGAAACTGGGTGAGGACAGGAGAGTCGGAGGGAGGGCCTGAGAAATGAGCTGAGCCAAGGAGTCGAGAGGAGAGAAAGGTGAAGGCAGCATCGGGCTTTCTAGAAGCAGGTGGCCCTTAGTATGGACAGCAGCCTTCCCTGGCCCTCTGGCCCCCTGCCCCTCTTCCCGGGGTCTCGCCCTGGAAGCCCAGAAATTGGCCCCAACTCCCCAGTAACTGCCTCTGCCCCCCCCCCATCTCCTAGGTGATGCTTCTGGGAGACTCAGGCGTTGGCAAAACCTGTTTGCTGATCCAATTCAAAGACGGGGCCTTCCTGTCCGGGACCTTCATAGCCACGGTCGGCATAGACTTCAGGGTGAGGTGGCGTCAGGCTCTTCCTCCCAGCAGCAAGCCGGGGCAGGCCAGGGCTCAGGCACAGTGTGCTGTCCTCTCTGGCCCTGGCTCCTCAAAGCCGCTGTGGGCCACTCCCCAGAGGGCACCAGGGGTGCTCCCCCTTGGGACCACAGAGGGGGCCAGGTTCAAGGAGTCCAGGCATGGTGGAGGGGCTCTCTGCCCGCCTACAGAATCTGAGCAATGACACGCTGAGTCTTAAAATTCTGCCCCAGAGCAGGACGGACACATCCCAGGGTGGGAGCTGAGTTTCCTGGCCTTCTGCTGTCTTGCTCATGGCCCTCTGAGCTAGGCCCTTCTGGCAAGGCCTCAGAGGTCAACAGGTCTTTCTGGAGTTCCTGGAAGCACCCCACTGCACTGGGTTGAAAAGCCAAGCTCATCAGCCTCCCTCCCTGTGGTCTCGAGGAACCCACCCCTACAAACCTGCGTCAGGGCTGTATAGCGCTCTGCCATTCTCCACCCACAGGGTCCAGGACAGTAAGGTCTAACCCAGGTGGTGGGGTGGGGGAGAGGCCATGCAGAGGCCGGCTGCCTCCCTCCCAATGGGAAGGAACCCAAGCTTCACTTCGGAGAACTAGTGAACAGCTAAAGGGAAAGACCACCCTGCAGACCCATCCTCTGCTGTGCCCAGGATATGCGAGGTGGAGGAGGCGGGCATCTTATCTCTAGGGCTCTGTTCTGCAGGCTGGGGCTGAGCTCCAGGAGGCACTGATGAAAGTGGGAAAGAGGCGGGGCCCCCAGTGTCCAGCCCTGAGTCACTTGCTGAGGTCAGGAGAGTCAGGCCCCGGCATGTTGTAAGAGGAGCAGACGAGTCCCCAAAAGAACTCTGCCATGGGGCAGGGAGGGGAGGGGGGAGCTTCTGGAGACGGGGTCCTGCTGCCCTGAAGAGGAAATCTGACTGGAGATGTCTCTGGGGCTCACTGCACCCCCTCGAAACCCGGGAGGCAACCAGAACAGAACGTCTGCCGCTCTGTAGGACGTCAAGGATCCAAGCCTCCCCCGCCATCCTAACCCACCCTCCCCCTGCCCCTGTCTCTTTCAGAACAAAGTGGTGACGGTGGATGGTGTGCAGGTGAAGCTGCAGGTGAGACTAAAGTCCAGAACGCCGGGGAGCGGGGAGGATGGAGGGCCCCGCCCCTATTCTGCACCCAGCCCCTGCTCTGCACCCAAACCACAGGAGGCTTGCAGCCCTGCCCTGAGCCTGGGACAATTTCCTGTGGGGCCCAGAGGAAACAGCTTTTGTGCTTTTGTTTGTTCGAGGAGGGCGAGGAGGGTGGCCCAAAAAGCAGTTCCCAGGCACACTCTCTACCTTCAAAGGCTCAAAGGCCGCTCGCTCCTCGTGCCTGCAGACGGGCTTGCCCTGCTCCAGCTCCTCTCCAGTTTCCCAGGTCTCATCTGCTCTGGGAGACTGGACGGCCCCAAGCCCTGGGCTAGGGAAGAGGCCGCAGCCTGAACGAGCTCGTGAGCTCCGTAACACCGCGGATATCATCGTATGTTCGGAAGGCCCTGAGCCCCTAGAGCAAGAAGCGTCCCCCCCACACACACAGCTGTCGGACTCCAGCATGGGTTCCCTCCGCGCAGCCCGGTCCCGGCGCACCGCCTCCCTCTGACCGTCTGTCCATCCCTTCCTAGATCTGGGATACAGCCGGGCAGGAGCGGTTCCGCAGTGTCACCCATGCTTATTACCGAGATGCCCAGGGTAAGCCCTTCCCCAGCCCACCTGGGAGACTCATCCTTCTGCCCCACGTCCCCTGTGTGATCTCTCTCTCCCCCTGCAGCCTTGCTCCTGCTCTATGACATCACCAACAAATCTTCTTTCGACAATATCCGGGTAGGTCCCCTTCATGCGCCCCCCAGCAGCAGCCAAGGCGGGCCCTCCGCGAGCGAGGACTGCTTCCTGCTTTGCGGGGAAGGGGGCAGAGCAGGCAACACTGCCGCCTTTTTCAAAACACCTGCGCTGTGACTCAAAAGGAATAACCTAACGCTGGGCATCTGGTCGGCCTGTGGGCGGGAAGGCCAGGCAGGCCGCTGGGTGCCTGTGCCACCTGCTCGGACCTGGCTGTGACTCGTGAGTGCAGTTCCTGACCGAGTTCGCCCTGTACCCAGCTCCGCCCTGGACAACTACCCAGGTGGCAAAGACAGTGATTCAGTGAGCAGGTCTGTCCTTACCAAACTATTGCAGAGTAGGGATGAAAAGTCAGTAAGTACAAGCCCTGAGCACGTCCAGCACCGTAAGGGTTTCACATCTCCCTGATCTCAAGGGATTGGCAAGCACATGGGGGGCAGGGGGCGCTCGGGGACCAAAACACGTAGATATAAAGCAGCTTATACAGAGGATGGAAATCCACAGCACGTGCATTGCCACCTCCAACTCCAACTCCCGGCTCCTGGTAGACATCACTAATCCATCACAATCTTTCCAATCACTAAGCCCTTATGTGTCGCTAGAATCCTCCGTGAGTCACTCCGGGAAATCGCTGGGGACTACCAGCTGATTTAGGAGATCAAGCTCTGCTACCTGCATCTTCCATAGAACGGGGAGTTGCACACTTGGGGTTGGGTCAAGGAAGGCTGATCCGGACCAGAGAGGCCAGAACAAAGAGGCAGATAAGAGAAGGCAGGGGGCCTGTGAGTAGCCCAGTGTAAACCAAACAGGCAGGAGAAGGACGGAGCAGAGGGAGGGGAGAAGGCCTGGTTCTCAGGCACAGCCTGGCTCAGCTCACCCTCTCCCACAGGCCTGGCTCACTGAGATTCATGAGTACGCCCAGAGGGATGTGGTAATCATGCTGCTGGGCAACAAGGTGAGTGAGCCCATCCCTGCGCCTCCCCTCTCACGAGCCCCACACAAGTCCCAAGAGGGTTAGTTGCATGTCCTTCCAGCAGAGGATTCTTCCCAGACTCCAGGTCAGCGGTCAGACCTATTTGGCAGCTTCAGCCCATCTCATCTGCCCTCTTAACACTTTGGAAATGGCCCCCTCCAGGGAAAGCCCAAGCTGCCATCTGAGAGACCCAGGGTTGCCCAGACGCTCAGCCCCCACTAGATCCCAGTAAAGTAGTCACAGATGAAGAGCTAAAACCTGAGTCCCAACTACTGTCACCCCTCTGAGGCTGGTCACCACACCCCTCCAAAGGAGAGTTTCCCATCTCCCCAAGTGGCAGTGGGATCCCCTGGCTGGGAGTTGGGTAACTCAGCCTGAGCAAGGCAGAAATCCTGGCTCCAAGCCAATCATACCACCCGCAGTCCCAAAGGCCACCAGCAGAGGGCAGGCAGTGGCTGCTCCTGCAGGTAAAGGGGCCAGCCCAGGCAGGAGAGGAGCAGGCGGGGGGGTGGAGGTTTCCTTCCCCAGAGTGACCCACCTGGGCTTGACAGGCGGATGTGAGCAATGAAAGGGTGATCCGTTCGGAGGACGGAGAGACACTGGCCAGGGTAAGTGACTGCCCGTGGGCAGGGCGAGGGGTGGGGGCAGCCAGAGGCTGGCCCTGAGGACATTCTCTTCCTGGCAGGAGTACGGAGTTCCCTTCATGGAGACCAGTGCCAAGACGGGCATGAATGTGGAGTTAGCCTTTCTGGCCATTGCCAAGTAAGAGCTGAGCATGGACGGGAGTCATGTGGGACGGGGTGGCACCAACTGGGAATCCAGTAGGGCCTGGCCCCTGGCCCAGCCCCTGTCCCTACAGGCACTGGGCCTCCTATGTCCAGTAGCCCCAGGCCATGGGAGTGGGGAGGGTACAGTTCCTCACTCCCTGCCCAGCCCACTGCTTCTTCCTCTTCAAGGGAGCTGAAGTACAGAGCCCTGTGGCAGCCCGATGGGCCCCACTTCCAGATCCGAGACTTTGTGGAATCCCAGAAGAAACAGCCCAGCTGCTGCTCCTTCTTATGAATCCCAAAGGGGCTGAAAGGAGGCTCCAGAGGCCCCCACGGATGCAGCCGTCTCCCCCAGATCTGGTTTATTCTGAACGGATGGGAATCGGGGGACCCAGGGCACAGCCCCTTCCCAAGAGGGAGCTGTACTCCCACTCTTACCTTAGTTCCTGTAGCTTCCCTACATCCTGGGGGAGGGTAGAGTATTTATTTCACTTTAATGATACATAATGTAATACAAAAAAGGAGGGGTGGGCACCAGAAAACCAAGAGACAGAACGGGTGGTCCTTTTGCCTTCTGGTACTAAGGACTTAGGGGCCCCAGGCTCTCTCCTTGCCTTGACAAGGGTGGTATTCTCCAGCTCAGCACCAGAGGGCAGTGATGCACTTCTGCAGCAGGAGGGCAGGCCGTGACCCCACTGGGGCCCTCACCTCAGCTGGAGATGTGCAGCAGACCACGGTTTTACTTCCTCCATCTCCCCCAGAATGTCTTCCCCAGTAAGATGCGCCCCTGTGCCAGACCAAGGCTCAGGGAAGATAATCGATGTGGAGATTGGGCAGTAATGGAGCTCGGTGGGTAAGGGAGAGAGGAGTAGCACAGACTAGGTCTGTATTGGCTGCCTCTGGCCTTACTAGCCTCACTCTGGGATGTACCCCTTTTCCTCCAGCCCACAGACTGAACACATTTGGTTCCTATTCTCTAGACCTCAGGTGCCAGGGGCAAGCCCCTCTTTTTCCCCTTCCCCAAATCCCTGGTGGAGGGATCTCTACCTTTTTGCTTATGCCCTTAGATTCCTAAGGTCACAGCTAGGGAAAGGTTTTTCTCCTGTCTCAACACTTTGGAGATTGGCAGCCCCACAGGCTACTTCAAGCAGCTCCAGTGTTTCTACTGAGTTAAGAATCCGATAAGGAGGAACGCCTGACTCTTGGAGCAGGTGGGAGGCAGAACCAGGCAAACCTCACCCCACACATATCCCCCCGCCCAACCCAAGCGTGGTCTCCTCCCTGACCACCATGCCTTTTCCCTTCAGACAGACACCACCACAGCCAAAACTGCTTTATGTCCCTTCCCACTGAGCCAGGTTAAGGAGTAAGAGGTCACCCATTTCTGGGTAAATCAACACAATGTGTAGAAAACAAAGTCACGTGGGTAAGATTGGGTTAAGGAGAGAGGCAGCAAGGAGTTTATGTGGGGCCAAGGTCACCTGTCCCACAAAACCCTAACCCTGGCCATCGGAGGTGGACAGGAGCCATGTGGGTCATGACCTGGAGAGTAAGAAGTACACACGGCACATTTCTAAGGCTACTGCATTTGCTTTCAAGGCAGAAATCTTGCTCTCTGAGCAGAGTCAGCAGCTCCGACTTGGGCCTGATAAGGAAGCTCTCCAAGGCTTCTCCCATTCAGAGCAGGGAGGAGCCTGACCTTGCTGGGCTTTTCTGGGGCCCAAGGCAGGTCGCAGGCATTCCAGTCATAGGGGCTGGCTCTGGGCCTCTAGCATTTGTGTTTTCAGAATTAAACTGCAGAATTGGGAAAGCACGCCCTGTCCATTGCTTCTTTGAGGTGCGCTTGGAGAGGGGGCAGGGGAGAGAATGTTAACTGTTACTGCATGTTGGGGGAACGGTCATTGACTGCCCAAATCATTTGATCTTCATCCATCAATGCTCCCAACTGCTCACCTCACCCTTAAAAGTCTGCTCCCCAACTTCTGTGAGCAGCCTTTCATCTGCAAGAAACTGAAAGAAGGTTTGTCCTAAGGTCCCATTTGGGCTTTTCTTTCCCCCCTATTGAAAAAAGCCAGGGCTCCTTTCCCTCTGCCCTGCACTCAAGAGATTGGTTACCTCTGTTCTGCCTCTCTTCCCCCACTTACTGGCCAAACGCGGAGGCCAGTGCTCACACCCTTGTCCTAGCTGGCCTGTTTCCAGTGGGCAGCCCCGGGAAGCCTGGGTTCCCTACTGAGCCCTCATACTGTCCCAGCGAGGATGAGAGCCCGCACCCCTGTAAGCGTGCGTCCTTGGACAACGCAAAACCCACGAAGGGGAAAATACCGTTATTCAAACAACCTTATTGGGTCGGAGGTGGACCTAGTCTTACTCGTAAGGCTTCTGGGACCCCACCGCCCCGTAGCTGGAGCGGTTTCCCCGGCAACAGCCGCTCCCCAGTTCCTACCCTCCCAACCCCTCACTGGAGTACACAAGAGGATTTAGCTAAAGGTCGTTAAAACTTTAAGACTCCTTTATCCGTGGGTTGGCTTGCCTCAATCCCCGCCAAACTGAGAGAAAACCAGAAGCCTAAGGGCCCCTCCGCCCAGTACCGGGAACTCGCCCCGCCCCCCGCCTCAACTTCGGCCACTTGGTAACAAACACTTCCACTTCCTGAGCCCTCTTTCTTCTAGCGCCGCGGGGCGCCGCGCCGAGCACAGGTCCCCGCCCCCGCGCGTTCCCATTGGCCGGCGTCGTTCACCCGGCCCGAGCGCCCCTGCCCGTGGTCTCTGATTGGGCCGCGATGTCCACACCTTCGGTGCGGCCCCGCCCCCGGAATAAGGGGCTGGCGCAGAGTCGCGAGGGCTCAGTCGCCGCGCTGGGTGTAGATTGGTCCGCGCTTTCCGGCTTGGATTCCTCGCAGTTACGCGGCCGCAGTTCGCCGCACACCTGTTCGCGCAGCCCACCGGCGGCGCGGGGCTTCTCTGCAGTGCTTCCTCCCGCCTGCCGGTTCGAAGGGCGGGGAGAAAGTTTGGGCCGTCCCGCCTCCGGCTCCCAACGGGACCCCAAGTCGCACCACTGAGCCGTCGCAGGGCGAGATGAGCGCGGACGCGGCGGCCGGGGCGCCCCTACCCCGGCTCTGCTGTCTGGAGAAGGGCCCGAACGGCTACGGCTTCCACCTGCACGGGGAGAAGGGCAAGCTGGGCCAGTTCATCAGGCTGGTGGAGCCCGGCTCACCAGCCGAGAAGGCGGGGTTGCTGGCCGGAGACCGGCTGGTGGAGGTGAACGGCGAGAACGTCGAGAAGGAGACCCACCAGCAGGTGGTGAGCCGCATCCGCGCTGCACTCAACGCAGTGCGCCTGCTGGTGGTCGACCCCGAGACGGACGAGCGGCTGCAGAAGCTGGGTGTCCAGGTCCGGGAGGAGTTGCTGCACGCCCAGGACGGGCCCGGGCAGGCCGAGCCCCCGGCCGCTACCGAGGCGCAGGAGGCTGGTGGCGAAAATGAGCCGCAGGCCGCCGCGCCGGAGCCGCGCGAAACCGAGAAGAGCCGTCCAGAGCGGGTATGTGTGGGCCCTAACCCGGGGGCGACTGGAAGGGGGGTGTGAGGGGGAAGCGAGAGGAGACCCAGCCGCCCTTCGGACGTCCAGCCGCGCGCCCGCCTCCTCTTTCAGAAACTGGATCCTCGAGGGGGAGACTGCTTCCACCTCCCGGCAGGTCGCACTGGCTTGGGGCTGCGTCCCGTTACCCCCACGCCCCTTCCCAGGCTGGGCTGGGACCCTGAGCGCCTCGCCACCTGCACTGCTTGTCTCTTGGCTTTTGGGAGCGGGAGTGAGAGAGGGCAGCTCAGAGGAGCGCGCGATCCATTTTCTTCGGCTCTGTTGGCGGTGTCTGTTCCCCTTCTTCAGAATCCTCCAACTCTGTCCCTCCTCGCACACCCCACTCCCTGCCGCCCCAGAGGTGCCAGCTTCCTCCCCGGCCCCTGAGGATGGTAGCTGCAGCTGGGGTGAAGCAACCGCCACCCGACTTCAGAAAGCTAGAGGAATAACAACTCCCAATTCTGTGCGGAGCCCCTGCACCAGGAGGGGAGGGGTCGCCGACAGGGTTCTCCAGACAGCGCCCCCCCCCCCTCGGGCGGGTGCGTGTATCATTAACCTCAGCCTGGCGGGATTTCATTCTCCTGAAGTACGGTGTGACTTTTAAGGAGAGGGAGCCCCACCGGGCGATGTGTGGGGGTGGGGTCCGGGGAGGAGGTGCAGAGGCGTCTCCGGGGGTGGTGGCGACTCTGCCACCGGGAGGATTTATGAGTCTCAGGAATGTGAGGCGTAAGCTGGCTTGTATCTGGGAAGGGAGGGGAGGACTTCGGAGGAAAAGAAAGGGCATGGGAGGAAGGTGGGGAGAGAGTAGCCTGGTGTCGCAGGGCCCTGCAGAAGCCAGCAGAACTTACCAGGGACAGGTGGTCTTGCCCTGTCATTGCCTGTCTCACTTCAGTCCCCTGGACACCAAGCTGACTGGTTGCTTTTTGCCCATCTTTGGTGTTTCCCCAAACGATCCAAGTTTGGATCAGCTGCAGGAGGGGCAGTAGCAAAACGGGAGTTGTGATGAGAGCCTTGTGTCCCCAGAGAGTGAAGGAGGGGGGAGGCCGTAGGGTGCAGACTGGGGGGAGCAGAGTCTGGGCCGTCGGCTTGGGCCAGCTCTCCACCTGGTGGCAGCGTGTGGCAGGGGCATCCGTGATGCCAGCAGAAGCCTCTCTGGACAGAAAAAAGGCACCCTTCAGCCTTAAGGTAGAAGGTGGAGCCCCAGAGGACCAGCTGGTTTGGTGGAAGTGAAGGAAGTGAGGTCGCCAGGAGCCCTGTCCAGCCAGAGCTGGGCGCTGGCAATACCAGGGCCGCTGGGCTCGTGCTTCCTGCCACTGCCAAGCTGGCGTTGGCAAGGATGGGGGAGGGGCCGGGGCATCCCTGGCAGGGGTTTGACACCAGGGAGTTGGAAACCATGATCTCTGATCCCAGGCAGGATCTCGTTTGAACTTTGTGCTGAGCTGAGTGTAGCAGTATGCCTTTCCCTCTTTTTTTTTTTTTTGGACTTTGGCACTGGCACAAGTAACCACCTCCCCACTACCCATCCCCCGCCGAGATGCCGTTATGTTCAGCTCCTCCCCTTGCCCTTTTGGTTTTTTGTGGGGGTTTTTTTGGTTGGTGTGGTTTTGGTTTTTGTTTTTGTGTTTTTTTGGTCTTTTTGCTGCTGGGTGAGAAAGGATCCGAGGGGAGTTGGAGGGTGCCAGGGGCATGGTGGCCTGACCCAGCCTGTGCTCTCCCACCATGCTATCTGGAAAAGCAGTGGAGCTTGACTTTCTGCTTTCTGGGTGACCCGCAGAATCGGATTCCCCCAGCTGGTGATGGGACATCTGCATTTGCACATACTTCTCAGGCCAGGAGAAGTAGTAGGATACCTTCAAGCTGGTCCTGGGGACACCAACACCAGGCCTCTTGGGGTTTTAGGTCCACAGGCAAGTCACAGAACTTCTTTGAGCCTTGGTTCTCCCATCTGTAAAATGGGGAGTGTTGTCCTACAGTCACCCCTATTTCCTCTAGGGTTTTACGAATAGTGGGAAATACTTGAGCCCCAGGTGGATGCTGAGTTGAGCACCTTCTGCCTGGGCATTTGTGCCAGTCTCTCTGGTAAGAAATGCCCATGAAATCTGGTGTGGCGGCCATGCAGGTGACCTGCCCTGTCATTGCAAAAAAAAGTCAGTAAACACAGTAAAACTGACATTTTTCCTAAAGGCATCTCATATAAGGAATTTGAGTTTTACTAATTAGTTTTAGCCTGAATTTGTTTGCAAAGTGGGGACTGTTACGGTATCTTCATTGGTTCTCACACGTGAAAAAAGCGTTCGGTGGACAAGTGCCACGCAGAGATTGGGTGGCAGGTAACATCTCATTGGGAAGACCACCCTGGGTGGAGAATTCTACAGGCAGAGGGTGTGGGATGCTTGTAGTACTGTTGGAGGAGGAGGGGGAGGGATTTGCAGCTGTGCCCACCTGCTCCGTTGGTGGCTTTCCCCACCCCCTCCAAAGGAGGAGCAGCAACACCCCTGCTCACAGCCCCTGCCCCCCCCCAGTGCTGATGGGCCCCAGGCCTGAGCTACCTCGAGCAGGAGTGACTTAACCTCCTAGGCCTCTGTCTCCTCCTGTGTAAGTTGGGAGCGTAGGGGCGGCCACACTGGGTGGGGGTTACATGGGGAGGTCCATAAAGGCAGTAGCTCCATGCCTGGCGTGGAACCGCTCAGCGAATGTTGGTATTTGAATTGATAAGTATTTCACAGTGATTGTTACATGCCCACCCTTGGGCCACCAGCCCTGGACCTGCCCCTCCTTGAGCAAGTGCTGCTGTGTCCCAGCCTGGTGCTTTCTGAATGCTCGGTCGGAGGCCAGTGTTCTGGAATAATCAGAAGGTGCTCCACAGCCTTTCCCAGTCTGGCAGCCCGACGAGACCCTTCAGTCTGGGAACCTGTCATTTCCCTTCTCCATGAGGCACACTGCAAAACCATTAACAGCCTGCAGAGCCTTTTCTCCATCCCGAAGGCAGAACGAGCTTTTTCTTTGCTCTCCTCCTCTTCCCTGTCCTCTGCATCTTTTCTGGCTATGAGCGCGCAACAATCAAATCACCTGTTCATGATCTTGACCCACTGCAATGGTGAGGAGGGTGAAGGTTGTGGCTGCTTTGTGTTTATATCCCCGGTTCTATGCCTCTTGCAGAGCAGGGAGGGCTCACATAATTTTTGAATGAACGAGTGCATAGTAGCCATCAGGCACCTTTATCCTAATTCATCTCGGTCCA